TGCTCAGGATGTCATCTGAGGCCGAAGCTGCAACTCTTTTCAGGACAATAGGCACTGCGGGGGGGGGGGGGGGCAGCTTATTCCTGACTGCGTGCCCAGACCTACCTTATTTGGGTCTCCAGAAAAACGAACCAAATCTCTATATCATTTCTTTATACACTAAATAGAATTGATGACCAGATCAAGTAGCAAATGGTGTGCTTGCCCTGGTCTAGGCATTCACCAACACAGAGAATCTACTGGGAGGTGGGATGATGGAGAGGGTGTGGTCATAGGTGCAGACTAGTCGGGGTGCCAGGACCCCGGCTTGCTCTCTTGCCTCCTGGACAGGTTGCAGGAAGCATCCAGGTGGCAGGGTGGCATCCGTGGAATGGGAACCCGTGGTGGTCATCTGTTTCATGTGTAAGAGAATCCTCCCTGAATAAACCTCACTTAACCTGTCCTGAGTCCAGTGAATCTTAATTCCCACTCATTAGATTGGCTCTGAGGCCAGAGAATTTGGAGATGAAGAGTTGCAGGAAGGTAATAAAACACATGAGGTCGTGTACCCTATGCAGTTCACAGATGTCCCGAGGAGAGTCACACAATTTAAGGAGGACACCAAAGGAAAGCCTGATTTAGGCTCTTTAAGTGTTTCTCTGAGGGAGAACAGAGATTCATTTCTGTTCAGATCCGGAGTCTATGGACCATGATCCCATACAGACAGAAACCGGCCTCTGATAGAAAGAGAACCTCGCCCAAATTCCCAAATATTGTCTATAAATGTTTGTTTTCATTTAAATGGACTTGGTTATATAAAATAAATAAATAAATAAAAGAAAGAAAGAGAGCCTCGCTGGCTTTATCATTCTCTTTCTTTAATCAAGCACTTTTTTTTTAAGGCCAGGCGTGGCCCACGGTCCATGACAGCTGGAGGAGGCTTGCTAGGGCTGTTGCTCATCTTTATTCTCATTTAGCCTCTTTCTGTTAGCCAAGTGCCAATTTACTGCCTGACTGCTTGGCTGCGTAGACCACGAGAGCTGTTTTCTCACTGAGATTTTTAATATTTTTCTTTTAATTGTCTATACCTCCTCACAGCCTTTCCCTGGAAAGGTCATAAGGCTGTATGTGTGTGTGTGGGGGGGGGGGGACCTGGGAGGACTGGGAAGTGAATGTGATTGGGGTGTGTTATGTGAAATTTCCAAATAATCAATAAAAATATTATGTTAAACATGTTTTTTATTATTCATTCCTCAACCACTGTGTGTGTGTGTGTGTGTGTGTGTGTGCACGCGCGTGAGTGCGTGCATGCGCGTGCATGGACATGCACATGTGCCTGTGGAGTCAGAGGTCAACACTGGTCCTCAATCTCTCTCCATATTATTGAGTCAGGCTCTCTCACTAAACCTAGAGCTCAGATATATATAGTTAGACTAGCTGGCCAAAAAGGCCCTAGGATTTCCATTTCCTTCATCACTAGTGTTATGGAAGTGTGCTATTGTGGTTGGCTTTTACATAGATTCTAGGGATCTGAACTCAGGTCTGCATGCTTGAACAATAGGCACTTTACCTACTCATCCATCTCCCCAGTCCCTGAATGCTCATTTTAAATTGCTTTTCTCCCATGACTCTAGAGATGATAGAACACATGGGAAAAAATGTATGGGCTCTTGGGTCAGGAGGTTAGGGTCCACATCCAAATCTAACTTTTCCTGTAACCAGGTGTATGATGATGCTGGGGAAGTCACAGGAACTCACTACATTGAAAACGACATGCTCGGGGGACTTGAGACGGAGCCAGCACATCACGGGAGAGGTGCTCCGCCCACCTAGCATAGCCCCTGTGCTAGCAAGGCTTGAGGATGTCCTATGCGTGGCACACTATAAATGGTTTCTTTCCCATTGCAGCAAGGGTACACAGAAGGACACTGGCCAGTCACTCCTTCAAGGAAGGAGGGGAGACAACGCTGGTGAGGTAGGCATTTTAAATCGCCTTTCTCCCAAACAAGGCATCAAGACTGGCAGGGAAGAAGCTAATGGGAGAGGAGGATGGGAGAGCCCTCCTAGTGTGGCTCCAAATAATGAAGCAATACCTGTGAGGGAAATAGGCCCAGGATCTACAAGCACCAAAGAGGGCGGGCACTGTGCAGATGACTTGTAAGGATGTAAAGACTCATGAGATGAGACCCTTGTGGTCCTGGATGGCCTCTGAGCTTTGGGCTTTTCCCAGGTTTCTGAATTACTTCCTTCTCTAGAGCCCCTCTCTTTCTCAGTAAATGATCGCTAGCTCCAGGTCTATCAATATCCAGTGTAACTGGTCTAGTACTTTGTTCCATGACACGAGAACCCAGTCATCTCAGAGGGTACCCCTGTACTGTGAGCCATGCCTCTCAGGCTGGTACTCAAGAGATGGCAGAGGTGCGTGCCTTGCAGGACTCTTGCAGACAATTCTTGGTATGTTGGAGCAAGGAGAGCCTTCACACAGCCTCTAGAATTATTTTCTGATTGTACCCCTTCTATGGCTTTTCATATTTACTCTCAAGTCATATCTGAGTGACATTTTTCACCTTGACCCCTCTCTCCCCATTAGGGAGATGCTACGGTATGAATCGATTTCAAGGTTTTTGAACAAATACCCATAAATATTTCAATCTTTGCTTTGCCTATTAGGGAAAATGCCATCTAAGATAATTATTTCGCTTCTGCCTGACAGGAAGATTTACACAGACGACAAAATTAGTTTAACCTCTGAGCAAATTCTGAAACCTTGAACCCATTTGGTCTTTCCCAAACACTAAATATTCTTGGGGCCATGTGTGTCCGATGTGTAAAGGCTTGGAGGGGAACGGGCGAGGCAACTGATCTTCCTAGGCTGCATTGCCTACATTTTCAGTGAAAGTCAACTGGTCAGGGAGAGAAAGCTGGACATTGCCTTTGGCCCCAAGCATGTCTTCTCTCCTGAGCTGTCAGCACTGAAGGGTGGGAGCGAGCCCTGGAGATAACATGCTTGGCATAGTGAGTTTCCAGTGTGAGCCAGTGCTGGGTATGATGCCCCCCCCACCCTGTAATCACAGCACGGGGCCAGGAAAGGCTAAGGAAGCCAGTGCTCAGTATGGTGGCCCTGCCTGTAATAACAACATGGGGCGGGGCAGGGAGGGGGTTAAAAAGTAGGCAGCCTGGGTATTCTACTTTCCTGTTTTGTTGTTGCTACAAAGAGCAGCTTAGGGGAGAAAGGGCTTATTTTAACGCAGTGTTCCCGGTTCCGGTCTGTCACCGTGGGGAAGTGGATGCAGCAGGAACTTGAAACAGACACATCCACAGTGGACAGCAAAGAATAGATGCACACGCTGTCATTGTCTGGTACTTGGCTTATCCTCTCCACTCTCATATAGCCCAGGACCCAAACTTACAGAACATGACTAGCCACCACGGATTGGGTCTTCCCATGTCAAACAACATAGCCAAGACAACCTTCCATGGGCATGCCCACAGCATGACCCAATCTAGATAATCCTTCCCCGGGAAGCTCTTTCTAGGGCAATGGTTCTCAACCTGTGGGTCACAACCCCCAACAGGGGTCACAGAGCAGATATTCTGTGTATCAGATATTTACGGTCCAGGTCGTAACACTATCGAAATTATAGTTCTGAAGTAGCCATGAAATAACTTTATGGCTGGGGGTCACCACAATATGAGGAACTGTATTAAAGGGTTACAGCATTAGGAAGGTTGAGAACCACAGTCCTAAGGGAGTCTAGATTGTGTCTATATTGACACTGGACTATGTAGCAGGACCCTGTGCCAAGGAAACAGATAAGAATACAGTCTGCACATGAACGGCTTGCTTAATGTGAGTGGTGTAGAGGTCTGGAGATGGTTTGAATGTGGGGTTGATGCCTAATTCTAGCATTTCTTAGCAATTTAGCTTTAGACATATTTCTATGGTCTTAATCGCTTCATGTGAAGGAAGAGCCTGGTGCTAACCTCTCTCAAGGGGTTTGCCTTGAGGACTAAGGCAAGAGGAGGTGGTAGTGGGGTGTGGGTTGGGTTTGAAGTGTCTAGTGCATGCTAAGCTAGCCACACACAGTAGTTGCTGCTCATCAGAGAACTGAAGAATGTAGCCTTCAGAACCCAGGGTACCCATAGCATGTGCACATCATTCTCTGTGTACGAAGAGTCCCCAGATTCCCAAAGGATGCCTGGAATGTGCTTAAGTGTGTTTGCTAGTAGAAAGTGTCCTTGAAATGATTATGTGCAGCTGAAGGTCTTCCTCCCTCAAAGACGGCCAGGTCCAAATCCTCAGAACCTGTGGATATAATCTTCCACAGTCAGGACTTTTCAGATACAGCTTGAGGTCTAGAGATGTAGAACCCAATGTAGACTAGTTGAGGTTGTGATAATCACAAGAGCTGTCATGGGAAGAAGACGGGTAGAGTTGGAAAAGTCACAGCAATCACACGATCCTGTCGCTGTGTGGATGGTGGAAGAAAGCACTATGAGCTGAGGCATAGTAGAAGCTTCTACAAGCCAGGGCATATAGCTTATAGAGGTGGGAAAAGCTGAATGGGCTACCCTAATATGCCCTCTACTACATACACAAACCATGGAACCAACCATGCTTTTTTAACCCTATCAACTGCAGTCTTCTTCCTAGATTAGAATCTGAGCACCATGTAGTCAGAGTCCTCGTCACTCCAAGGATGCCAAGAACCACGATGGTGACTGCCTTCTCACTCAACATTTACAGGCAGATTGTATATGCGAGCAAATCCCCCCAGTTTCAGTGTCTCTGAAATCACTATGGCCACGGGCATGCAGGATAAATAGTTTATCATGCAGCCATCCCACAGACACATAAAACAAAAGCAGGAGTTCCGTGAAATAGTGCTGTGTGAGATGGGCATGTCTATGTCTTTCCCCTATTTGAGCATCATTTGTCTACTTTAGTTTACCTTGTGTCACAATCCGTATATGACCTTGCATTCCCTGTTTGTAGATTGGAAATACCTGGTGATCCTTACCTCTGGGGCAATGTAATCGGGAGTCCCACAGAAGGTCCTGGTTGTGACTCCATCCATCATATGTTCTTTGCACATGCCAAAATCGGCGATTTTGATATGTCCTTCTGAATCCAGCATGACATTGTCCAGCTTCAGATCCCTGTAAGGAAGCAGGTGACTGTCAGGGGCCCTCCCATCACATGACTTGATTTGCTTGGAGCTGGTGAAATGGAAGGATCTTTGCCTAGCTCAGTGGCACTTGTGTTGTAAGTCCCTGGAGACCAGACACCAAGGAATTACTGTGTCCTTCCTTCTCCAGAGCCTAAGACACAGTAGGTATTTAAATGCCAAGTAAGTAATAAATGGTTGAATTACTGATTCCTAATACCTTTTGTGGCTTCAAATCCAGGGATTCCACATTATCAGGTTTGGGGAGATTACAGGCACTGGATTTATTAATATCCTACACAGAAGTGGGGATACAGACATACATATAGGTACCCCAAGTGACAGGTTCAGAGCTACCTTCCATGAACCTCTGTCTTCCATGTCTCCCCTATCCTGCCTGAGCCAATGTCTTCTTAATTATTCAAGGCATTTTCTTTTTTTGGTACCACAGCCCCAAAGCATTTAATTCAGCAGTCCCTGCTTCCCATCTTCTTCTCCTGCTGAGTGACTAGAACGGCAGTCTAGCTTCTGTCGCTCTCTGTCCTCCATCCAAATAAAAGGCAGAGGAAGGTGCTGTCAGCAGAGTAGAAAATGCGACAAGCAGGAAGGAGACATGTAACATCTCTGAGCCTAGAAGTCATGTGGCTGACTCTAGAAGTGGCTCTGGTTTGCCCCAAGGTTGCGGGGGCAGATGAGCCTCAGCAAGTTTGCATTCCTGAGGAGCTGTGGACTCCACATCCAAAGTTCCCATCACAGAATTGGTTCCCTGCCCACAGTGGCTCCCCAAACCCCCTCCATCGTTCTGCTGCACGAAGAGCTCTGAGACACACCTGTAAATGATTCCTCTTTTGTGGAGAAAGAACAGGCCGATGGAGATCTCCGCTGCGTAGAATCTGCAGAACAAAGTATACTTCAGACATCTGGGTTTGGGGCTTTCTGGATATTTTAACTTAAGTTTGGTCATCAGAGAGATATGAGAGAGAGAGAGAGAGAGAGAGAGAGAGAGAGAGAGAGAGAGAGAGAGAGAGAAAGGCTGACCGACCAATTGACAGACAGACATAGATACCCCAGAAGTCTCTGAGATCACCCTGCATGTGTGCTTTTCACAGCTGGCTCTGCCTGTCTCTCTATCCCACAATGAGAAAGACTGATTTTTCTTGTCTGTGGAAAGGGAGAAGCTCATTCACTCCCCACATGATCATTTCTAGTATGGCAACTCAAAGGGTGACTACTTGTGTGACACTCCTGTGTTAGGAGTGCGGCTGAGTGGGAAAAGTTTCCATTCTCCAATACATGGCTGAAGTAGATTTCAGTGTCTGAGAAGGCAACCACTCCCAGAAGACAAAGCCTAGGGCTGCCAAGTGCTCCAGCTCCTTTATTCATTTGCTGAAGTGCTGGATGGAATAAATGGGCCATGCACCATGATTCATCATGCCTGCGTTTGCCCTTTTAAATAATTCACAATAAAAACAGTCATTACCATCACTTCAAAATCATTAATAGGTTAATATCTGGAACTCAGATTAAATGCAGAACAGTGTTTTAGAATTTGCACAGCACTGGGGAGCCTTGGAAGTCCACAAAGCCACAAGCACGGACTGGGTAAATACACCCAGAGGCTTAAAATAAACACAGTAGCCGAGGAGCGGAGAAAAGTTGAAGACTGAGTTCTTAGTGGGGTTGCCCCTAGGGGCTGGCAGGGGAGGCAGGGATGGAGCAGGGAGCGGAGAGATAGATAAGATCACAGGTGATTTTTGTGTTGTTTTCCACGTTTCCTGTACTTTTTAACTTTTCTGTAACACAAGCAGAATGGAAGGGTATCAGATGATGCCATCCAGTGGCTTGGTGACAAAAGGTGGCTATCCTGCTACCTCTACTTTCTGGCTCTGGGCTTTTGAGCTTTATTTTACAATGCAAGCTCCTTAAAGCTCTGTGGTGTACAATGAGGGGATAAGGGCAGGTGTAAAAATGCATTGGCTTCTTAGTAGAAATAAAAGCAGAAAAAAGCCCCCTTGATGGTTTTTAAAGCTTTCGATTAAAGAGCTCCCTGTCTCCCTGCCTGCCTGCAGTTAATCTTTCTAGCACAGATTACCCCGCACAGGCCCTGGATTCCTCTATGTTTCAGATCACAGTGGGCCCCAACTCTACTGGGTCAGGCCCACTGCACTGTGGCTCCAGGTCTAGGTATGGGAACTGGCACTCTGCTGGTGACAGTGCAGGCATCTGTTTCCCTCCCCCCCTCACCCTGTGGACGACTCCTCCACCGCCACCTGGGGCCCATTTCTCTACCCCTGCATTCCCATAGGTAAGGAGCATCCCAGTGTGATGGTTCAAGATAAGCTTCTGTTGGGATCCTTCCTCCTCAACAGCTGCGCTCACCCCAGCCTGAGGTTTCCTTAAAGGGTTTCCTTCTCTTGCCCAAGCCACCAACTTTTGTTTTTCCTCTTCTAGAACATTCATTAAAGATAAAGGGTTAATTCCAGCTGATTCTTCTTCCCTGCAGTTTCCCACAGGCCCCCTTGCACCAGCCCCAATATCTTGAACTTCTTCCCTCAGCCAGTGGGCTCTGTAACGCCTTCTATGAGGTCAAGCTCTTCCCTCTGCCATCTTCCTTAGCTACCCTGCCAGCAGGCTCTGCATCTGTCCACCTAGCCCCTCCCCACCCCACATCACCTGAGCTGCAGGCCATTCCCTGGACTTGGCTCCCATCTCTTCTCAGCCTTTCTTTCACCTCTGGGCTGAGTATTCCCCATCTTCCAATTCTGGGATACTAGTGGTACCTTTGCTTACTTGTACTCCAATCCTGGGGTATTAGTGGTATCCTCTTTATACTTGTATGGTTTCAGCAATGTGTTAAAATAGTTGGATGGCATTTCCAAATGCCACATGAGGATGTGGACTCCCCGAGGGCTGGGTCTCACATGCCTTTCACACTCTTTCTGGATACATAGTGAGTGCGAATTACCATCCACTCAATGAATGGTGAAGTAGTCCATCTATAGAGGCATTAGTAGGTGATGGGGAGGGAAGGCACCAGCATGTCCAATTTGCTGAGAATAGAATCAGCTGGTCCTTAGAAATATCATTATACATGGGTCCTGTCTGCGTGTCTGCTACTCTGGGAAGTTTCAGTGCTTAGATCCAAGTGAGTAGAGTCACCCCTGGACATTTTATACAGGAGTTCCCAGTTGGGAGTTTTAGGCTGCCTGAATTGCAGAACTCAATCAAAACAGAATAAACCAACAACAAAAAGACCAATCCACAATATTAATAAAAAATAAAAAAGTACTCACACTGCTTGGGGCTCCTTAAATTTCCCTACTTGCTGAATGTGGTACATGAGGTCTCCACCGTTGACATATTCCATGACGAAGTATAGCCGGTCCTGTAGACCAAGGTTCGCACATGAGTAGGGCTCCTCCCCAGCAGAGCTGGTCTAGTTTGCTTTCTCATGAGCAAATATGGAGTGGCATGGGCAGATCTGCTCTGCTGGGCACTCTTCCAAATCTTTTCCTGGTGATGGCGGGGGATACATAGCTCACCCTGTGGCATGGGGCCTTGGGAAGGGTAATAATGTCCTTTAATAACCCTGTAGATGATGGCTGACTGAGAACATGCCTGCTTCCTGGTTTTATATGTGCCTTATTACCATAAGAGCCCCCAGACATTCAGCCTAGTTCTCCCAGTATAGATCATGTATCTCTAAGCTAGTGGTGGTGTGAAGATTCCACATGGGCCCGCCATTTCATCTTAACCTGTGTTATTGATGGTGCACATGTGTAAAACCTGGCGAGGAGGAATGCCATGCTGATGTAGTAGCATGCTTAAATGGATGTTTCTGAAAATATATCTCTTGGGTTAATGATATTTAGTGGGAGGGGAGGGGAGCGCCACAAATGGAAATTTTAATCAGTATTCTTTTGCCTCCATAATGTGTTCAAATATTGCTTTTTTTATAAAAATCTTCTCTGTCACTGGTATGCTAAGCGCTGGTCCCACGGAGGGCATAAATCATGGAGCCAAGTAAGTCGGCATACTTATGAGGACATTATGCTGGGACAGATGGGAGAGAGCGGGGAATTTAATGAGGAAATAACCAGCAGCACAACAGGGCAGGTAAAAGCTGACCTCTGCTCGGGTCTAGAAAACTCTCCACTTTTGCAGAGGTTACAAAGCATGGAACTGCAGCCTGGGGAGGGAGAGACGATGGAGCAGGTGCTCGAAGCCAGGAGTGGCTTTGGGAGCTCTACTCTATCTTTAACGACATCTTCATTTCTTTGCTTTGCAACTTTCCAGTGCTGCCCTAGTGTCTGTGGGGTCAGGAAACAGGGTTGAGGTTCAGTTCTCCCTCCCACCTTGCCACTAGCTCTTTCTGGTGTTCCAGGAGAGCTGGAGCAGCTGACAGGAGCAGGTGTGTGGTGGCTGGGAGGTGGGGGTGGGGGTGGGGTGGGAGTGGGGGGTGGGAGGGATACTGGGGCAGGAGCGGACCAAGTGACCAGCGCAAGGCTGACACACAGTGGCCAGTGACGGCTCTGCAGCCTCTCAGCACAAGCTGTGCCCACAGGGATGCCCCATTGTGAGACTTTGCCCATCCAAAGGCATTTAGGGTGTTTCCCACAATTTTAAAAGAGGGACATAATCATGGACCCATTTCTGACCATAGCCCAGGTAACGAGAGCTTTGGAGGAGGGGCACCGGACAACTGTACCTCATTTAAAAGGGGGCGTGGTGGGGGACACCTGCCTGCACTGCCACGTTGTGGTACACATTTGTTTGTTTGTTTGCTTATTTACTTATTGATACAGGGTTTCTTTGTGAAACAGTCCTAGCTGTCCCAAAACTCACTTTGTAGATCAGGCTGGCCTAGGAGTCTCAGAGATCCTTCTGCCTCTGCCTCCTGAGTGCTGGGATTAAAGGTGTGCGCCAACTCACTGTGGTATATCTTACTGTGTATGTTTCTGTGGTGAATGCAAAGCCCCACAGTGCTTTGGTATATGGACTTTTTTCCTTTTTAATTTTACTCTCTGACAAAGATCACAGTTGTAGGGTGTTTTATAAGGACTTTTTTTCAGATAGTAGATACAGGTTTTGTATGTCTCTTGTAACTCATCTTGTAACTCCTAATCAAAGTGGGGATGTGGCTGCAGGTGACAGGGGAGAGGATGGATGTGGCTTTGTCCTTAGAAAGTGACTTACAGATGCTGAAATCTGAATTTCACATGCCAGGAAATATTATAATTTGGATTTATTTCTTGTAACTTTTTACAGCTCATGGATTGCAGGACAGGACACAGCTTGCCATTCCTGCTGTGTCATTCATTATACAGGGACACGCTCCTTAGGAAATGGAGTAGCTTGGTGTTCAGTCAGTGCTCTTTAAAAACAGGGCTGCCCAGGCATGGCCGTACACACCTTTAATCACAGCACTTGGTGAGGCAGAGTTTGAGGCTAGCCTGGTTTGCTAAAAAAAAAAAAAAAAAAAAAAAAAAAAAAAAAAAAGGCATGGCTATGAATCTGCAGCTGTTTTGTGTGAGTCTTAGTGTAGGGCTTGCATGAAGAAGATCTCGTTCATACAGCCACTTCCAGGTCCCTAATGAAAACCCAGATCCTCCTGTGTGCAAGCCCTTTATTTAAAGTAGTTTAGTGTTTGTATGTAATCCATGCACACATGCCTACTGAACCCAATAGATTACTTATATCTAACACAGCATAAACACTACTGTAATGAAGGATGTGCAGCGGCAGCCTGCCTCCAAAGGGAGCTGAGTTCAGTTATCGAGATGAGAGGGTCTTGAGACCGCACCCCAGCCCCCAGGCAAGGGGGCGGGCGTGCGTGCGTGTGCGCTGCCGTCTTACCACTGTCTGGAAGCAGGAGTGCAGCTGTGTCAGGAACGGGGGCTTGTCTAGCAGGGCCAGGACCCGCTTTTCCACCATGGTGCACTCCACATCATCGTCCTGGATCACCACGTCCTTCTTCAGGATTTTGATGGCGTACAGTTCCTCTGTCCCCTTCCTGTCCGCGAGCATCACCTGGGGACGGAAGGAGAGAAGGCTCAACACTGGTGGGCAGACATCTGGGAGTAGGAGTGGAGGTTGTGAGGAGCAAGGGCAGGAGACGGTTCAGCAACGGTTGGCGCAAGTCTGAGAGTGTGAGATGAAAAAAATGCTAAGGCATTTGGTATGGTTTCATTATGGGTAGCTGTGCTTAAAGTCCTCGTGTAGACGTCTTGGTCCCTGGTGTGGCAATAGCGGGACGCGGGGGACCCTGTAGGAGCTAAGTTCTAGCTTCAGTTCTGTTGCTGTGATAAAATACACTGACAAAAAAAAAAATTAATCAACTTAAGGGGGAAAGGATTTATTTCAGGGAACAATTCCAAGTTACCGGGCATCATTGTGGAGATGTCAAGGCAGGAATGTCAAACAGCTGTCACAGCACAGCCATCTGGAGCAGAGACATGAATATATACACACTCGCTTGCTTGCATGCTGGTGCTCAGTCACTCTCGAGCAGTCAGGCCCACCCTGCCTAGGGAATGGTGCTTCCCACAGTGGGCTTAGTTTCTCCATATCAATGAACTTAAGTAAGACAAGTTCCAAGCCAGTGTAGACAATCCCTCATTGAGACAATGAAAGCTAACTATTAAAGGTCCTTAGATCATCGCAGGTGTGCAATGTTCTTGAAGGGCACTGAGGGACCAGGGTCACGTTCTTTTTTTATTTTGCTCCCTGGCTGATTAAATGATGTGGTTCATTCCAACACATATTCCTGCCATGATGTACTATCTTGCAAGAGGCCAAAAGTTAATGGGACCATTCAGTCATGGACGAACTGAAACCTCTAAGACCATGAGCCAAAAAAAACCCTCTTTCTCTATATAAATAAACCACCTCACATAATTCAGTATAGTTACAGAAGGCAGGCTAACATAAACTTTACATTTGGATTTAAGTATTGCAAGATACCACAAGTTAAAATTCCTTCATCATTCATAATCCTTTTTAAAAGTATCCAGGTTTGTAGACAGTGTAGGATATTAATATACACAGTTGCTATTTTGCCTGGTAATGGGGATATTTAATATTCTTTAATGGGATTAGTCTGGAATTATCCATATTCATGTTTTGGAAACATCCTGAGAGTAAATTGTAACCTTTGCAACCTTGAAGGCCAAGAACACAAAGGAAAAGGCAGGCTCACAATCAATTCATGGGTGTTTCACAAGGTTTAGGGTCACAGAGGCCAAACGATACACAGACTGAAGTCCACACAGCCCCATTGCATGGTCTCAGTATGATGATCACCCAGGCTTAGGGCAAGTTCATGTTCTATTTTCATTGTGAGAATTAATCATTCTGCTAGCATTTTGGAGCATGCCTTCTAGTCTGAATACTGGGAAATGGGGGGCACCACAAACTCTGTGGCATTTTATGGGTTATAGCACGTGTGTGTGTGTGTGTGTGTGTGTGTGTGTGTGTGTGTGTGTAGGTGTAATGTGTGCACCCACCCATGTGCACATACTTGCATGTAAGTACACTGAGGGACCACATATGTATGTTCATGCTGGTTTAGCTTCAGGCATCATCCACCATTTTCCTGTTCTTTTCTTTTCCTTTGTTGTTTTGAGGAAGGGTCTCTTATTGCACTTGAACTGACCAAGTAGACTAGGTTGGCTGGTCACTTGGGCCTCAGGATCCACTTGTCCCCAGTGCTGGGACCGTAAGCGTATGCCAGCACACCTCACACAGGCTCAGATCTACTTGTAAGTACTTCACTGACTGAGTGATCTCCCCAATCTCATCACAGTTGTTCAAAAGAGATTTATTTTATTTCTAACTGTGCACATATGTGTAGGTGTGTGTGGTGGGGTGTGTGCATGTGAGCATGGGTGCCCGTGGAGGTCAGAGATGCTGGATGTCCCAGAGCTAGAGTTCCAGGTGGTTGGTTGTGAGTTGCCTGGAGGGCGCTGCACCAAACACACACAGGCTCTCTGGAAGGAAAGCAAGTACTCTTAACTGCCGAGTCATCTCTCCAATGCTGTTTTTAACGACATCCGGATTACCTGAGGGATGTGAGTATATGATCTAACCCTGAGCAATACTGATGAACATTTATGCATAGCTCCTCCCTTCTTACCTTCCCGAAACTGCCCTTGCCCAGCACCATGAGGAAATTGAAGTCTGTGAGTTTCACTCTGTCAAGGTTGTTGGATGGTTGCTTCCTGTCTTCTGAAGGGCTGATGACTTTGTTACCAGCAGGGCCGAGCTTGGCTTTCTGGAAGACACACAAACACAAAAAGCCACTGGTCACTTTTTTTGCCCCCATGGAAAGAGTGACAGAAACCAGCACACAGTTCATAAGCCGGATGTCAGCTGTGAATGGTGGCGATAGGCTGAGTAAAAGAAATGGAGGGTAAGGGGTGATGGTCAGCGGCTGTATGCATCCCCTGGGGAGATCTACAAAGGGAAAGCTCTTCACCTAGGAACAGCTCTGGACAGGGAAGAGAGACTTCATTTGAAAGAACCTGCCCATGGCAGGTGAATCCTAATTCTGGCATGGAAAGCTGACTGCTTGAGGGTGAAGAGTGTCTTGAGATTGCTAACATAATCAAGGAAATGAGTCTGTGAGTGGATGTTTTTCTTAGTTGTAGGTTTTGTAACAAAATTAATCCATATGAAGGAAATTTGTACCCAGGCAGAATGTTCTCCAGGGAGGAGCTGCCTAATTGGTGAGCTTTGGGGATGATTTATTGCTACTTTCAAGAGAGCAGGAAGAATGGGGCTTTTTCTTTTTTTCTTTTCTTTTTTTTTAGTTAAGAGTTAGATTGATGAAAAGAAACAGTCAGCCCCTGGCATCTGCATTCACATCAGCCTGGAGGACATCCAGTAAATGATGCTATGGGACCAAAAGCAGTTTTTGTACATTGCAGTCACATCACATGGCAACCCTGGAGAGAGCCACTGGTGTCAGACTCTCTCGGAGAGTCCCGCTCTCACTGCCAATGAGGAAAAGGAAGAGGGCTCGGTGAAAGAAGACGCAAACGAGATGCCATGGGAGCGATTTCAAAAGCAAGCACAACTGCTTTAAATCACTGCTTCTCAACCCGTGGGTCTCAAGCCCTTTGGGTGTTGAATGACTCTTTCACAAGGCTCAAAAATCAGATACTTAACATTATGGTTCATGATAGCGCAAAGTTACAGTTACGAAGTAGCAATGGAAATACTTTCATGGCTGGAGGTCACCACAGCATGGGGAACTGTGTTAAAGGGCTGCAGAGTGAGGCAGGTTAGGAGCACCTCCTCTCCCTCAGTGCAGCAGACCTCAGTGTGGGGTTGAGCTCAGTAGCAGGGGCTAGGTTCTCACTCGGGTGGTCAACACCTTCTGAGTAGGTATCTTCACCACTGCCCTATTGCTGTGAGGAGACACCATGACCAAGCCATCTCTTATACAAGAAAGCACCTAACTGGAGGCTTGCTTGCAGCTTCAGAGGGTGAGTTCATTATCACCATGGCAGGCGCATGGCAGAAACATGGCGGTACTCATGGTACTGGAGTAGTAGCTCAGAGTTTCATCCTGATCATCAGGCAGAGACAGACTGGGCCTGGCACAGGATTTTGAGACTTCAAAGCCCACCCCTAGTGTCACACTTCCTCCAGTAAGACCACACCTACTCCAACAATGCCACACCTCCTAATCCTCAGAGAGTACCACTACCCAGCGACTAAGCATTTGAATATAAGAGCCAATGGGGGGGGAGCATTGGGGGGGTGTCTCACAATAGACAGATGCCTTGGCAAGGCTGGGTCCTAGCTCTAGGGGAAATGTGTATTTGTAGGTTTGTTTCTTTATCATCAAGGGTTTCCCATGTCAGTGGAGACAATCCCCCACAGAGGCCAACCCAATATAGGCAGTCCCCTACACTGTGTTATGGTGGGAATGCGGGCATGACCAGTGGAGGCTCATATCACTCAGGAAAAGTCTCCCCCCAAAGTGCAGCTCAATCGGAGATGGCTCATTCTGTGGTTTGGGATGAGGGTGCTGTACTCACAGAGGGAGGCCAGTATGTGGGGCCAGATCACAAGGTAGTGTCATTAACTGTGTTCAAGATGGACAGCTGGCTGCTCGGGGGTGGGGGCCCAACCCATGGGGTGTAGTTAGAGCTCACCCCTGCCTGAGGTATACATGGCCCAGGTATCATTATCTGTGTGCTGCCATCCAGAGTGGCGCTGCCTACCACCCCAGCTTTCCTACAGAGCGTTCTAGAGCCATCTCCATTGTGCCATCTGTAGACCTTGCTGCCTAAGGACACCAAGCCACCTCTGATACTGAGTTTTCTAAAGCAACAGGAAAAACCTGTTTTTTAAACTCTGCTGATCTGGGTCTGTCTTTGGGCAAAGCCCCACTCAAAGGCAGAAAAGTTTAAGATACTGTGGTGTTTGAGAAGACAGCCAGAGTGTGTGTGTGTGTGTGTGTGTGTGTGTGTGTGTGTGTGTGTGTGTGTTGGGGGAGTTTGGAAATTTGGGGACAGTCCTAGAGGCCTTCTAGGAGGTCAGATGCTGTGAACGGGATGCTGGCTTTCTCTTCTTCCCGGGATCACATTCTAGAAGGCGCAGCCATCCCTTAACAAGTTCTTCTTCTGAGCCCACCATTTCTTCCCCTTGGTTTTGAATGGGTTGCTTGGCAACTGGCTTCACAGCAGGACCGAGAGACCTGTCCTTCCTGACTTGCATATTGTTGACATTACTCTGGCTGTCACGAGTGTAGCGTGGACTTCCTTCGCCAGGAGCGCAAATCGAATCAATATATGTGTGTGTAGGGTACAGCTGGAGCCCACTGCCACCTGCTGACATCCTTTACTGTAGCAATGTAAACAGGGACCAACAGGGGCAGATGCCCTGCTGGGGTGAGAGCAAACAGGATTTGGACGGCTGGGGCTGACAGCAGCACAGCAGTGATAGGAGTAGAACACAGAAGACCCCTTCCATGTTTCCATTTTCTGCCTGATGTCCGTCCTCGCCACAGGGCAGGTGGATACTGGCTCATGCTTCTGAACTGTCAGAACCATAAGTGAGATAACCCTCTTTAATTCATATACCGGGTAGCTCTGGGTATTTTGTTGCAGCAACAGAAAAGGGACTATGGCTTCCTGTGGCCCTTGCATATGTCTGGAGGCTGTGCATGTCCCTCAGGCCTCACAGCCTCTTGGGAGAGGGGATGGCAGGAGACCAAACCAAGATTTCTGCAGTTGTCAAGTTCCCTACAGGGCTGGGTTGAGGTTGGTTAAGGCAGTGGTTCTCAGCCAGAGGGTGGAACAACCTTTTCAAGGGGTTGCATGCTAGATATCCTGCATATCAGATATATACATGACAATTCAGAACCGTAGCAAAATTATAGTTATGAAGTAGCGATGAAAATAATGTCATGGTTGGGGGTCACCACAAAATGAGGGTCACTGCATTAGGAAGGTTGAGGACCATGGGGTTAAGGCAAAGGGGTTGTAGAAAAGCACACAGTTGGGCGTTGGTGGCACACAGCTTTGATATCAGCACTCAGAAGGCAGAGGCAGAGGCGTCTCTCTGAGTTCGAGGCCAGCCTGGTCTACAGAGCTAGTTCCAGGACAGCCAGGGCTACACAGAGAAACAAACAAACACAAAACAGCATAGAAATTATTCAAAATGGGAAAAATGAAAACCTTGATGTATGATGTTGTACAGTAGAACAAAGCAGTTCTAAATGCTAGAACTTTCCTCTCTTCTTTTGTCCTTAGACAAAAGTATAGCATATGCTATTGGCTTTGATTAAAATAAGTTGTGCCTGGGGAATCTGGATTCTTCAAAAGATGGCACCTGAGCATTTATTTGTCAAGCCTGGCTGCATAATGCCACCTGGATTTCCAGGGTCTGAGACCAGCCAGTGTCCACTCCTCATGAGGAAATGAGCTAATAACCAACTAATAATGAATCTCATTTGGAATGATGAGGCATTTTCTAGACCCTGAAGGGCTACAGGGTGAGTGGGAGACAAGGAAACCATGTAATAGGAAACTGATCTGCAAACCCTGATGTGCTGGGAGTCAAGATACATATATACGTATGTATGTATGTATGTATGTATGTATGTATGTATGTATGTATTTATGGCTCCTACCTGTGTCCAAGGACTCGTCTGTCCAAGGCGTCTTACACTCAGCTCACTAATGCAGGGTTTTCAAATTAAAACCAGGATGAGTTCCATGCCAAATGATTTGCATCATCGTGGGGTGTGGTAGTATAACCCTGAAATCAGTTCCAGCACACAGGAGACAGAGGCAGCTGGACCAAGATTTCAAGGCAGCCAGGGTTACATGGGTCTGACTTTAAAATCCATAAAATAATGATATCACAGTAATAACCTGCATTAGTTATATGAAGGACGGGGTGGTAGGAGACACATTTTCTATCAGGGTAAAGCATTTGCAGAAGCAGAGCTGGGATAATTTGACCTTTGGTAGCCGCAATGGTCAAAGTCTAAGTTCATGCCAAGACACCTTGCCTTACTTGAATCATGTGTGCTGAGTGTATGCTGGCTTTGCTAAACAAGCAAACAGACTTAAAAGACCCAGTGTTGGGGTGAGTGTACTGCTATCACTTGTTGGCTCTCATGGCATGCCTCTCTGCCTAGAAATTTTGAAAAGAAGTTCTGGTTTATCCAAGCCCCACGACCCACATCTCAGTAGGACTGCAAGTCTCCTGGTGGTCCTTTGGGAAATCACTAAAGTGGGGGTCCGTGTCTAATCCCACTCGGCTCTACTTTAAGTGGTCTGATTCTAAACTCTTTTGTGAACATGTCTTCAATAAAAGTCTGAGCGTGGCTTTGATGGATGTACTTATCACAGCTATTTGCAGTGTAACACAGTGACTGCCACTGAGCTTGAGAGCTGTGGTGGGGCATTTCTACTTCTGACATTCTAGGGGTAGACAGGCCAGTGGTACCCAACCCTGGAAGCACATGGACTGTTCTGGATTTCTCTTACATATTTTTTTTTTTCCTTTTCATGATGAAAATGCCCTGGGCTCATTATCTGAACACTGACAAGGCATTTTAGCACTGTTCCACAAAGTGGGGCAGGGTTAGCAGAAGCAGATGTGCCACACAGGACCAAGGCACAGGACTTTGCCTTCAAGGCGGTGTATTCAACCATGCTGCAATATTGGCTCGGAGCAATTGAGTGCTTCAGAAGCCAATCATGCGGACTCAAGGAGGGCTTGCTAGAGGGACCTGTCAGCTAGGTTAGT